TCACACAAGAGAAACTTATGTTGATAGTTTCTTTGTTGATCTGTCTTTTTCTCGATTTGTAGGACTCTTACCTGCAGTAAAACCATGCCCGGCTCACTTGGTCATGAAGAACAAGATGCAAAAACATTTGCCTCATGGGTATTTATCTATATATGCATGTGCCTTATAAGTTATACATGAGTTCAAGTCCTAAACATTGAAGCTGTGTTTTTGTTATGGTGAATTTGACAGGGCATTGATTACTTGAAGTACGATAACTGCGAAAACACAGGGATAAGTCCAAAAGAAAGATACCCAAAGATGAGTAAAGCTCTCATCAATTCAGGAAGACCCATATTCTTCTCTTTGTGTGAATGGTAAGAAGAAAAAGATTAGGGATTTTTCAAGACAACTTTGGTCTGATACTAAAACTGATTTGTAAGTGCAGGGGACAAGATGATCCAGCAACATGGGCAGGAGATATTGGCAACAGTTGGAGAACAACAGGAGATATCGAAGATAACTGGAATAGGTTTCTGTTCTTCAATGGTTGTTTTGGCAATCTTAGTGAAATAAGAACTTTGAAGATGTTTGTTTCTTCTTTTTTGGCTTGTTAGCATGACAAGGATAGCGGATCAGAATGATCGATGGGCGTCTTATGCCAGACCAGGATCGTGGAACGGTACACAGTTTGGTGTTTATTAACAGATGCAAGTCAATTTTATCAAAACTCTGAGAAAGTAATATCGGTATCCGGGTAAAACTGAAACAGATCCAGACATGCTTGAAGTGGGAAATGGAGGCATGACTAAGGAAGAATACCGGTCGCATTTCAGCATCTGGGCACTAGCAAAAGTATGAATGTCTGTTTACCTGAAAGCTCTAAACAGAGTGTGAATGTTTCCCTGCTTAAACCAATGTCGGATTGTGTTATCTCTTGCAGGCTCCTCTGCTGATCGGGTGCGATCTTAGATCGATGGACAAAGTTACCTTTGAGTTGCTTAGCAACAAAGAGGTGATTGCTGTTAATCAAGGTAAATACTAATATAAAAAAAAAAGTCTTCGACACTTCAGAATCTGCTCATATGAAATCCAAAAGTGATGAGAGCTTTTGAGCTGTTTATCTTCAGACAAACTTGGGATTCAGGGAAAGAAAATCAAGAAACAGGGTGATCTTGAGGTACTTCTTATCTATATGTAAGCACATGCCAAACACAAATAATATGAACATAGAAACATAACATATGTGGTGCAATGCAGGTATGGGCAGGACCGCTAAGCAAGAAACGAGTAGCGGTCATCCTATGGAACAGAGGATCATTACCTGCAAACATCACAGCTAAATGGGCGGAGATTGGCCTTGATTCATCAGCTACTGTCAATGCTCGTGACTTATGGGAGGTAAATTACGATAAACAAAGCATGCATTCTCATTATGCTTTAAAACAAAGCATGCACACCTGAAACCTACTCATGAAATGATTATGATGAATGCAGCATTCGACACACTCGGGTGTTAAAGAACAACTATCTGCCTTAGTGGAGCCTCATGCCTGCAAAATGTATACTCTTACCATACGCAAAGCTTAAGATGCTGTTCTTCTACAGCTAAGAGTCAATCAAGTGAAACTGATCCCTAGTAAAATACTGTGGAAGCCAGAAGATTCTACCAAATCATTTTCGAGTTGGTTATGTACTTTATAATCCAAAGATGAGATGCCATAATAAAAAATACTCAATCCAAATAACATGATAATAAGAAGAATTTGAGTTTTGAAAACTCTCCTTTTAAGTAAAATTGAAACAAATCCACCAGATGTTCGCAAAGTTTTCATCTATAAATTCCATGATAACAAGATACCAATAATAATAAGCCAACACCACATCACTGACAACACCAGGGAGTTGTCACAGTTTGAGACCTGGATGATATATGAATGCAGAGATTGTTAACACCCACTTGGAAGTGGCAGGTCATTAGATTTCTCAGCCATAAACATGTCGAAATCGCTGTGCGTGAACATGAGTGTTCTCAACCAGGAGGCAGCAGATTCTTCTTGAGTGTTTATCTTTTGTTGATCTGAGGTCTCCGGCATGGTCCACACTTTGCCAGAGAGCTTGGAAGTCACTGCTCCAAAAGCAGGAAGCACAACTTTCTTCTTCTTATAAAATGTTTCTGAAAATCACGAGAACAAAAAAAAACTAGTTCAATACATCAAAAAGCTACAGATACACTTGTTTCCAACGCGTAAGTGCTAATATCTAACTGTTGTTTTTTCTATAATTTGAAGAAGAGGGAGGAAATACCTGGATAGGTTGGTGTCAATGAATGATATGTCAGAAAAGAGACAGATAATGCCTTCACGTCGTGCACTTCTGGAATCTGATATATCGGAGACCTATAATAATTATCAATCAACCTTCTTCAGCCAAATCAAATAATCATGTAGATTAAGAGCCATTAAACTAGTAATCCAAGAGCCTAAGCAAGAGGACAATGGAGAAATAAACATACCAAGCTACAGAAAACCAACTGTTTTTAGAAAGCTCAGAGCTTTCAAGACTCTTCAGCCCATGGTGCTGCTCAGCTAGCTCATCAACCTCCAACAAAAAACAGCATTTCAATTTTTCACATTTACATCACTACAAGAGAGAACACTTATGCTCTAAAAGACAAAAAGTAAGCAATCCAAAAACTTAAGGCAAACACAGAAGTAGAAGAACATAACAAAACCTTTTCAATAAGTGGAGGCCTAACATCAAACCCCATTGTCTCATTGTACTCAAAGTAAAGATGAGAATCCGTTCCAGAACTCCTAAAATTGAAAAACGAAAAAGAGTCAATTTTTCAGATTCTGAATGAAAATGTTGTCGAGACCCATGAATCAAAATCGCAAACTAAGACTGTAACCTTGAAGAAGATCCATCGACGAATGGTTCGTTGGTGAAGATTTGAATGGCGGAGAGAGAAGGAACATAGTACTGAGTAACATCCGAATGTGTGTGGTTCAGTTTAAGAGGAACGCCTCGTGCATAACAGCTCCACTCTTCGTAAGCAGACCAAACGGCTCTCAGACCAACGTCAAGCTTTCTCACTTTTTCTGCTTCGCCTATTGGAGAAGAAGACGAATCCCGACGACTCTGCAGGGAAATTTTGAAATTAGGGTTCGCATTTTATTCGGGTCAGTGGATCCGGGTTAGATAACACCAATATTTAGAGGCATACCCTCATATTACTTTTATTTTACAAATCGACCCAAATGTTTTTAAGCTTCTTCCCAAAAAAAAAG